GTTAGTGAGCTTTTGTGTTTTTATTAATATATACTACATATTTTTATATATTATAAATAGTGTCAAAGTAGAAATATACAGTTTTAATATTCGTGTTCTTGCATGAGTTTATAATCTAAATAGTTGCATTTCTTTGAAATAATAGAAGAAATCTCATTGCACAAATTATAAAATCAAGTCCAAGAATTTACGTAATATAAATAACATGATAAGGTTCGAAAATAAGACGTGATATATTTGAAACGGCCAAGGACCACAGTCATGTTGATACCAAGTAGAAAGGCAGCAAGCCTTCTGCAAGATTCATGAATCTCTGCTACTCAACTGACTTAGTATACACTAAGTAAATTAAAACATTTGATCCTAACATCAATATCTTATACTTTCCTATTAAAATGTCAATTATTTTCATACAATAGAAGAAACCGATAACTTCTTTTAAAAACATCTGATTAAACTTTAGTTTAACTTTAATAACTTCTAAATCATATATAAGATATTGTGAGCAATAGACTTACCATAAATATTCCTCATATTAAAATCCAGTCCTTAGGATGCAAAAGTAATAATTGTTGCCTTTCCTCTAGACAATTTTAGCACAATTGTTACACCTTGAATATAGGCAACCTAGGATTGCCAATGCCACGTATGTTCCTCTATGCCCAACAGTGGAGCAGGGTTTGCTTTGACAGGTCACCTTTTTCTCTTTATATATAGCACCAAAGGATGGTTAAAATATCAGGCAAGGGGGTCTCTCAGGGTAATTCCTAACATTGATCCAAATTTTAAATACTCTATTTCAACAGTGATTTTTGATCAATATGCCTTTAATTCCAGCAGAGGCCAGCATTTCTCTGTGAGTTCAATGCTCACCAGGTCTATATAGCCAGTTTCAGGCCAACAAAGGCTACTCAGTGAGAACCTCTCTCTCTCTCAAAAAAAAAATGACAAATAAATAAATAACAAGAATCCTTTGCATAACTAATATGGGGAAAATGTTTGTTCACCTTTTTATAATTAAGTAATGCTGCTTTATGTCCATGCTATTTTTATGTGCATTAGAGAGGAATCATGATGCAGAATTAAGACCTATGTGATTAACTGTACAGGATCAACTATCACTTATTACTTGTATCACTTATTACTTATAAGTGACAAAAATTCACCCTCCAATAACTGAAATCTAAATGAAAACACATCTTCTGATTGCTAGAAAATATGAGATTTGCTTATTTTGTTTGAAATGTTAACGTTTTCGAATCTGGTTAGTATTTAACACTTACAGTTGCATAAGAGAACAAAATCTAAAGCCATATGTGAGCTCCTCATTCTCCTAAAATCATCACATGGAATAGCATGGCTGTTGTGGGAAGGCTTTGTCTGATACTTCACATGTTTCTTCATAATGTGATTACCATGTTGATGCTGACATGGTTTAATATTGCAGCATTTTAGAGAATGTCTAACTATGTTGAAATACAATAATAAAAGTCAGGAAATGCTTCCTAAGAAATGCTCCATCAGATTGATAAACTTTCTCTTGTTACCATTTGCCCCCATCTCCTTCAGGAGCAAATTTTTGATGACTCAACAGATGGTGAGAATGTAGAAACATAACCGGCAGTCGATCATACGTCTGGACATTTATTTTTTGATTGGTGATCTTAGCACCATTTGGACTTGCTTATACTGATTAACACTTTTTGCTGTTGTTCACTCTTTAGGGTGATTCAGGAGGACCGTTAATGTGTCAAGAAAACAACAGGTGGCTTCTTGTTGGTGTGACATCATTTGGAGTCCAATGTGCACTGGCTAATCGCCCTGGCGTGTATGTCCGGGTCTCAGAGTTTGTAGTGTGGATACAGAGTTTTCTACATTAGTCATTTTCCTGCCACAAGCATGCAAGTTTGGCAGTTTTGGTTTGTTTGTTGGTTTGTTTTTCCTTTTTACTCAAAATAGCACTGCAACTGAGAGTTTCATGAGAAGAAAGAAAAAGGCTTTCTATTAAATTGAATCATTTAAATACTGGGATGAAGAAGAAAAACAAAGCAAGAAATTAAAATCAAGCTCTGCAACATTAATTAACTCTAAAATGAATCTTTGTTTCATAATAAACAGTCGTTATTTTATAGACTTTATCATTTCCTTTGTTTTGAATCATTCTTACTATTTTCTATTGTGTAAAGGTTTTTACTTTACCATATATGCAAGCAAAACTACGTAAATAAACGAACTGTAATAGTTTACCTGACATACGTTGTTGTTTGAAATGAACTGTTGTAACTCAGCTAGTTTCAGCTTAGTGTACCTCCAGAGTCTCCATTGTTTTCTCTCCTTACCGTCTGCATGAACTTCTATTAAAATGTAATATTTTACCTGTTTATAAAAGCACATTTATTGTTAACTCATATCACAAGCATAATCACATCATACCTGTGTCTGTCATGGAAGTAAAGAAAACACACCCACATTTCTCTCCTGACCTAGCATCAACATAAAAGTAAACTACCTAATACTGTCATTCTACACAAGGAATCTTTATCAGGGTCATATTAACTTACCATTCACTTCAAGCTGGTATTTTTTTAAAATTGCAAAAATATGCAGGTATCTTGAGGAAATCAATTATTAAAATTTAAAATTAGATTATATGTTTACAGAATATGTTTAACTTTGAAAACTCATTCAGACACAGTTGAATTGCCCATTAAAGCCAAAAATGTGTAATAAATTAATTTGCTTTACTCCTTTAATCTCTTGGATCATTTCCAGAGTAACTGCAAATGTCAATTTAGCTCACAACACAGAATCTGCTGATGTCTGTAGCAACATAGCATGAAATGCACATATGCACACAGAGAGACAGAGTTTTTTTTCAAGCACACATACACATTTTTGCATGAAGTGAAACAACAAAAGGACGAATGGGGTTCAAACAAGTAGAAAAAAAGGGGCAATTGCTATGGTTTGCTTTGTGGAAGGAAGGAAGCTTCAGGTACATTTGGAGAGAATGATTGCAGTCGGCACACTTAAAAGACACTGGAAAAAGCTGTGCAGGTAGGAATGACTCTGAAGGTTGGTTGAGGTCAGAGGTCAAGAGATAATCATGATGCTGTACCTAAAGACCATCAGAGCTTGCAAACACATGAAATGAATATTTGACAAGATGATTGAGGATTGAATGCTCCCATAAACATAATAAATAACAATCAAAATAATAAAATATAAATAATCAGAGGTCTCAGAACACATTTTTCTTAGTAAAAACTTACTACTAACCTAAATCCTAGCAAGTAGAGAAGAGTGAGGTGTTTTATTTGTTTTGAATACTTTAAGGTAGCTCAATACTTAGTGGCATTTCCCAACATATATTTAAGTTATGCTCTGAAAATACAGAACAATTACATTATGTATCGGTTTGTTTTTCAAGGGTCAGCTAAAGCTTCCAGAAACACTTAGAATAGTATCATTATCGTCTTCTAAGAGCAAAGAAATATATTTTCCCACCCTTATCACAGATGGAGTTTGTCATTGACACCAGAGTTTATCCTGACCTGGATAATGATAAAAGGGGAACAACAGCCTTCCCCTATCACTGTGTGCGTCCACCCTCCAGCTGTTAGGGTTTTGGGTGGCACAGACAAAGGGAAAGCCCAGTTTCCCTTCTCACAGTTCTAACTAAAGGAAGAAATGGGTGGAGTTGGCATGGAGGAAAAACATAGATCCAAACAGCTGCATAGATCCAAACAGTTCCATATTTTGATCCAAAATATGAAGAGCCACAGAACGAATGGGGGCTGAATGAGGACAGCCTAACTTAGAATGCAGTTGTCAGTTCTCAGCCTCAAAGCTGCAGATAAAAGATCTGAGGTCCATTTCTGCCTTTTGTTTTGGAAAACCAAATCTACTTATGGAAACTACTTTATTGTCCAACTGAAAATATCATTTCCCTGTTTACTCTTTATCTTTGTCTTCTGTGTTCTTCACATGTAATGTTTGTTTTCATCTTCAGATCGTGATGAAACACATCTGTGTTCTGTTGATTTAAGAATTTAGACAACACCAAGGATCATTCCTCAGAAATAAGAACTTTTTATTTGGTTAAAAGTAACACAGGGACATTCGAAAACAAAATAGTTACATCTCTTGAGAAGAACAGATGCTACGTGTTGAAGAAACTCGATCAGACAGAAGAAAGCCACGGTGCACAGTCACAAACAAACCCTCTTCAAAGATATCCAAACATCAATGACCTCTAGCCCATGGCCTAGATTTGTAATTTTTGTTTTGTTCTTGATGTGTAATATCAGTGTGCTCTGCCTAGCATCACACAGCTGAGAACCATTCAGTCCTATATATCAATACCAGCTAAATTCAGTTAGGAAAACCTTAGCCGAGGTGCAGCTGTCTAACTCCAGGGTCAGTCCAAGCCCTCAAACAGCCATTCTGTTCGGTGCACAGGGAAGAACCACACATTGATTCCAGACACTCAGAGAACAACTTGCAATTCTATAGGCAACTTGTGAAGAACTGCGATTGGTACTGTGGACACATTTCTTTTTCAATAAACTACATTGGTGTCTGTACAACTATTAGTAAAGATATTTTATTACAAAAATCAGTTTAATTTTAAATTAAGAATAATTGTAAGGCACGTGTCTTGCACAATTGATGTTAGACAGTTCTTGCCTCTAAGTAAAGTGTTTCAGAAGATTTATAGCACAGCCAATGAAACAGCTTCTTATTTCTGAAAATATTTCCTAAACCTTATGCAAACAAGAAAAAAATGAAAAGAAGAACATGAACTATTTCTAAAAAAAAAGTTTTCCCTATGGAAATAGTTCTTCATGTCTGTGTAAATTCAGTATTTAATCAAAACAGCATGTATGTAAAAATGAAATGCCCTAAATATAAATATTAGAACAATCAATTTTTATCAAATATTGTTGCAAAGGTTAATTTTTGCACACTATAAATTTGAATACAATTAATATTACATGAAGTAGATCAAAATGATGAAGGTGACGAAATGCAAAAGGAACTACTTCCAACCCAGGAATTCCAGATGTGTCCACTGAAGTTTTATCTGCATAATCCATTTCAATGACATGATGTTAGGGTGCATCCTTTAGCTGAGTAAGCAGGTCTCACTCCATGACAAATACAGCATATTTTGTAAGTTAAACTACGAACATATAAAAATTATTTTGACATTTGCCTCAAGGGGGAGCTTACAGTTCATCTTGTAGATCCTTTGAGATTTCAAGCCATTCCAAGCTAATGATGCCATTCCTTACCCTGATCGGGAATCACAAAACTATCTTTGTTTTCTGGAGCAGAGACAGTTCGTTATTAGACTTCCATACCGCTCTCCTTTCTCGTGCTCTTGGAAATCCACAGTGTAGACTGATTCGGGCTAGTTTTTGTTCTTCCTTTACTGAAAAACATAAAAAGAAATAAATTCAGTTCCTGAATCTTATCAGGCTGGCCGTGTCTTCATCCAAAGAGAGATGTTCAGACAGTTGTTATGAGTCCTTCTTTGGACATATTTGCCATTCCTACAAAAAGAAGTCTAGATTATCCCAGTGTGTGAAGATGACAAACAATTCCAAACACACCTGCATCTGCTGACTCACCATAGAGTTTAAACACCCATGCATCACAATGCCTGACAGAGTACTAAAACTTTTATTTTCCCACAATGAACCTTGTTTTCTTTGGCCAATGTTTCTAAATCTTGCTTTATGGGTACTCTAAAATAATGGCTGTTGCAATTAGTGTCAGTCATCCAAACACCTGCTGTGACCTTAAATATCAAGATTGCCTGTCCCCCTCCTACCATCCGTTTTGTTTTGCTAAGCTGTACTTAGGTCATTTGCTTCCAGAAAGCTTCATTGTGTCTCTTTCTCAAATCAGCCTAAATCCAAAGCAGACACATGTTTGGTGACTTAGGAGCTTGTGAGCTCTTCTTCCAAGACATGGTTGACAGGCTCATGAGAGCCTGTGCCTGGAATTCTGGTGGTTTTTCCTACAGTGCTCACTAGTCAGGCTCCTGCAGACGTGTCTGTTTCTAAGATTCCCCAAGTCATCTCATACCAGATTCCATGTCAAGATCTGCATTTCTTTGTTTTAGTTTCCTGAGGATGGCCTCTCACTTGGTCTGGCCACATTCCCTGTGTTTAGCATTTACTTCTACCCCTAGGTACCCACACTTCCTTCAGCCTCTAATGACTTTTGCCACCCTCATAGCCCACACAGGCACACCCTGCACTGGGCCACCATCCTGCAGATTTGGAAACCTCCTTAAGGGAAAAGAACTAATTCTAAAGTCACAGCATTACAGTGAAAAATAGCTTGTGCATGTCAATTTCAGTGCTGTTGTGATTAATAAAAATCCAAATTACAGGTTGTATGGATAGTCCTTCAGGTAAATCAGGTCAAGAAAACTTAATTCTACCAAATAGAACTAGCGTGAAGAGAAAGTAAGCCAGGCAGAGCTTATGAAGAGCAGAGTACTTTCAATGGTAAGAAACGAAGTTATCAGTGTTGCTTTAATCGTAGTTAGTGTCATTTAAAAGTTCTACTAGTTAAGGGAAGGAAAGTTATTCTGAAAATGATATGGAATGAGAGAAACCGCCATGTGTACCAGATTGGAATTTAAACTTTCTGCAAGGCACTCAGATGATAATGGAGTGGAGTCTTTGATGAAGTTTCTCCTTGCTTTCCTGGAAGAAAGGAAAAGGGGAGGATCTAAGAATGGTGAACACAGGACTTCAGGTCATCCCGGCAACTGAAAGTGCCCAGTTTGGGTTTATTTTTTCACTCCGAAATTTTCAAGCACGTGAAAATCTTTTGATTTTCAAAACAGCCACAGATCTTTTGAATGAATACAACCACTTTTTGGAGACAAACATAACAATCCTTAGAGGAGATGCTGTTGCTCAACACACTAACACATTTGACTTGGCAAGTGAGAATGTTTGAAGCATATGTTTAATGTTTACTAACCAGTTTGCTACTTAAATGGACACTTTAACAGTCTGTCTGGGCTAAGAGGGATTAACATTCCTCCTACACCATTGCTTTCCCAATGAGAAATCTAATATGATTTCATCTATAGTATTCTAAATTAGGGCAAGAAATGACACATTTTCTACTGTATTTATTAAATAAAAAATGCTAGAAAATAAATTTTATATTTCACAGGTCTCTCAATGAAAGTCAAGAGGATCACCACATATATTAATTTTCCAGACTTCATTTTAACATCCCTGATTTTTATCTTAAATAATTTTTGTATTTTCAATCACGTTAATGTTTTGTTTTATTTGACTTTTTGTTTCATGGGAAGTGTTTGCTTGTTTGTTAAGCTATGTTCTTGTTATGTTGCCCCAGCTGGACTCAAATTTGTAGTTCTTCTGCTCCCCAGCCTCCTGAGTTCTGGGACTGTAGGCATGTCCTGCCAGGCATGCCTAGATTAGATCACTTATTAATACACATTAATCATGTATATCCTTTCACATTGCTACTTTTCAGGCTCTTTAGGATTTATTTAAGGAAAATAAGATGATGAAACAAAAAGGGAAAAAATATTACCTTTGCAGGTCCTGATATCATACAATCAATCTTTTCATCAATTATTTGATCATAAAACAAACAGGTCATTTTTTTCAGCACATATGTCCTTATGTAAATGTATCTCCTAGTGTTTTCTTTGTTACATATTTATACTTAATTTATTGAAATTTAATTGACAGATCGTATCACACAAAAAAGTTTACTTCACTGGCTCAAGGGTAATAATAACCATGAATAAGTGTTTGACAAGTTCCTAGAAGTCTTACTATTCAGATAAATCATTTTATTTCAAAATATCTGCCAGAAAGTACCCAGAAATAGGGGGGGGGAGTGTTTGGAAAAGAATGAAGTTTTTTGAGATAAGGTCTCATGATGTAGCTCAGACCGTCCTGGAACTCACTAACTCAAGCTGGCCTTGCACTCCTAGCAATACTGCTCACCCTCTCAGGGGCACCACACTCAGCACACTGTCTTCACAAAAGGACTTAATTTCCTGGTCTTAAAGTGTCTTAAAACAGAAGCTTTTTACTTGAATCTTGAAACTATACTACATCTATATCTATAAAACCAAGTCTTATGTATAACTTGATGTTCAGATTGAAAGATTTAGCATCAATCTTATTTTAATTTAACAATCAAGAGAGCATATGTATAGTGTATCTCGTAGGAGCTCACAAACACTCACACTTCAGATCCATCACATATGCTAAGTGTGCACCACAAGGTAACTGAAGATGACCCAACTGAGCTTTTCCTGACTGAAAAACAGAAACAGTAAAGCAAGCAGTTCATAGGACTTATGAACTGTGAAGAAGACACTGGATTTCTCATATAATCTGAGTATGTTCTATAACTCTCCATGTGCTGGATTTTTACTGACAGGTAAGAACATTAAAATTCTTTAATGTAAGTTAAAGCTATAGTAACATTCTCAAAGAATGTCTCAAAATATACTTCAGGTTTTTTTTCCCTTAATTATCTTGACAAAAATATGGTTTTTACCTTTTATGCAACATCTGGAAACAGCAGGTTCCGAAAGCAACAAGGATCAGTAAAAGCAGAGGAATTGTTGGTATGATAACATAAATTAGATTGGGAATTATGCCTGCAAAAATAAAACAGTTTTAGTGTTCAATGATAGCTCATGAAGAAGCTCAAAAGCAGCTATGAACGAATTTCTGTAATGATTAAGGTAAAATAGAATTGCTACCAAAAAGTAAACTCCAAGTATAAGAGCTTATGAAAAATACATATACACTTTGGAAAAGTTTATAAATAAAACTTTAATTCCCTGGTTGACATGCTCAATTAAATATGCGTGCATTTAAAGTTCTAATACATTTTCAATTCAGACACGGATTAATTTTCATAACATGTTAATAATCTTAGCTGTCTCGTTTTATTAATTCTTCTGCATTATTGCAAAAGTGAAGACTTTATATTGGGGAATAATAATTGCTATAATCATTGCTGACTTAGTCGATATTGAATTATCTTAGCCAATAAGCTCGTTGTCGTGAGAAAATGTAAGAATCTGGCCTTAAGTAACAATAAGCACATACTAGGTGATGATGCAGTCATAACCCAGAGACATAAGACTCTGGAGCCAATAACATGATTTAATTAAATTCTGAAAATAGGTCATCTTTTAACCCTGTTCTCTCACTCTCAATGATGGCAGATGTTCTTAGGAGATTCTAAGGAAAATCACCGACACTCAAGATCTACAAATCATGAAATGACTTTATTAGCCACACTTTTAATAAGAGGAAAATGTCTGTAGTTTAATTATTTTCTGACAACTTTAATTGTGTTTAGATCTTATGGATGATGTTAAAATCAGATACATGAAACAGAAAAGCCCAAAATCTTAAGAGCATTTCTGTATAAGGAAAACAAACTCAGTTGCATTTGGCTTGCAAACTAAAAAGTTAGTCAACAATATCACAAATCTTAAAGATTCTGATAAAAGTTGGTCATAATTTATTCACTCCATTGCTTATTCTTCTCTTTGCTCAGGGGCATATTTAATGAGATTTAGGGATAAGTTATTCAGAAGTTTGCTGCTGTTTAACACATTTTTATTTTTATTTATTTATTTTTAAAAGAAAACAAACTTCTTTAATTTTACATACCAATACCAGTTCCCATGCTCTCCCTTCTCCCCTTCCCCCACTCCAGCCCCATCCACTCCTCAGAAAGGTTAAGGCATATCGCTTTGGGGAAGTTTCAAAGCCCTCCCTACTATATCATTTTTATTGCTTTTTATTCTAATCAAACCCACACTTCACTCTCCACTCCAAATTCTCACAGATCCTTCTACTTACTTCTTTCTTACTTTATGGTGTGTGTGTGTGTGTGTGTGTGTGTGTGTGTGTGTGTGTGTCCCACATGCTTGTGACCATAGGGCTACATAAGAGAATCAAATTGCAGAGAATAGTGATTATGGAGTGCTCAGTCTTCCTTCTGAGCCTCTGTATTTTGAAATTTGTACTGATTTTGAAACATTTGGGTCTTTGGATCAATATTCACAAAAGAAATATGATGAATTTTTTGTCCATCTGTATTTAGTTCATGTCAAAAAAGTAGTTTTAAGGAATATCGAGGAGTCTCTAACTAATATGGAACTTGCACTGGGGATTGCAATTTTCTACTCTGTCTTTTGGGGTGGCACCAAGATAGAGGGTCCACTGTGTGCACCTCCTTCCAACTTGTCCTACCGTGATATCACGGTGATAGTCTGAAATTGACCAGATAGAGGTTTTACACCAGGGAAGACTACATAAACTATAATGAGTCTTATGTTATACCGCCTCTCTACTGCCAGACAAGCCCTGAACATTCAGTAGCAAATTGCTATCCCAGGTCTCTAAATATGCCAGTATACATGGCACACACTACACTATATTGGGAAATGCTTTGTAGATACAGGTGTTAATGTCAATCTCTTAGTTTGACACAAGATACTTCCACCTGAAATGGAATTTTTTTAAAGGTTATTCAATTCAAAATGCTCTAATGTAGGTCAAAAATAAATGTCTATGGACCCATAATTAATGCACCACATCCTTGAACCACATGAATGGTTTCCCTGGGTTCAACATGAAGTGCTAGTTCAAAGCCCAGTTCTTTAGGTGAGAAGTACAGAAGGGACTCACCTGCTTCAGTAACAACCACATTCTCTTGCCTGTCTTCAGGTTGATTAGTAAGATTCGGCTTTTCAACAGGGTCTGTTGGCTGAATCTCTGTAAATAATAAACATAGAAATAATAAATAATAATTAAATAAGGAAAATGAAAATGTCAACAAAAATGTTATTAAATGGTTTTAAAAAGTTGATTTGGATTTCTGAATAATTAGCAGTCAAATATATATTCTGAGTTTAAATGTATATAGAATTAACCAGCATTAGTCACTATTTAATTATGTCTGTATATAAGAACCTATTTGATAAATTCCTTCTATAACCCCAAACTTTATTTAGTAACCAAAAGTGGTAGAGTCCTGAAGGCAGCCTGCTACAATCATAATGCTTAATCAGTAATGACTAAGCTACCCAAAGTTACAGCGGTAAACAGTAATTTGTAAACCTAAGTCATAAAACATAAGACATAATTCCAAAGAAAACAAGGGTAAACTTTTTAAGTAAAAACCTTTACAGTGCAGTAATAATTAACAGAGAGTTGCATAGTTGCTTGTGGAATTGGTGATTCAAGCAGCAGCCATCTGAAAACTATGTCTGTGCTACCCAGATAATGACATTCTGAGATGTAAATTCCAATAGGGATACTCCTTTTATTAATATTAAGATTTGCAGGTTGTTTCTTTTCTAGCTTTATGTGATTAGACTCTTCAGTTCCCAAATATGTGAGAAATTCTTGAGACAGGAGCAGGTTAGCCAAAGTAATTGTATTAGTTAGGCATGAATAGATTCCAAATCTTCCAGCTACCCCACCTACCCACTGCCCACCTGAATGTGCTGCAGTGAAGCACAATCACATTGGAAAGCAAGCCTACTGTGTCTTTGAATCCTCCTTTCACTTGTATCCAACTACAAGGCTCCATCCCACACCCCCAAACCTGATCCAGGATAATCCTTATTTCGTGCCACACACTCAAACACAGGTTAGGTCACATGCTGTGGTGCCAGGGTGGGGGGCACTCCAACCCCTAAATCTCTTATCTGGAAAGTTGTGAAAGCAAGGAATTTCCTTTGTTTATCCTGAGCCAAAGTGATCCTTTCTCTTGTTTTGGTCCTTGAGGTACATACCATAACTCCTATAATATAATATAATATTGCAGAAGTCAATGGAATTGAAGGAGCTTTTTCTTCAGAACTCCTGTATCACTCTCAATGGAGTTCTTCTTAGGGAACTGGAGGCGAATGAGGGTTTCCTTCTTCAGAAGCCCCATCATGGTATAAGACAGTTTCTTCCTTAATGGAGTTCTTTGGTGGTAGCCAATTAAACTCCACTTTCCCTCTGTAAGTCTATACCATCCTTTTATTTCTAAGTCTAGCGGTTCATTATGATTCAGAAGTTATCCTGGGCTATATTTTGAGTTTCCAACTAGGCTGAGGCATACAGTAAAACTCTGCCTCAAAAACAAACAAACAAACAAGTGACAACAAAACCAAATGCAAATGTTTTAATTGCTCAAAAATTAGACTCTTTACTCTTGTCATTGCATGCATATAAAAAAAGCTACATAGAGCATTTTCTGTAGTCTTTGGAACATGAAAGTGTCTTAAAGAATTCTCACTGTTCACAATATCCTACAATCTGGATTCACCAGTAGTTTAACCACCCATCATCATACAATTTTAAATTTCATAAATTTTAAATTTAACTGGTACTTTAATATCTTCCTAATATGTAACTATTTGTCTAAAGAATTTCATTAGTATATAAATGCTTGTTGACTAATGTTTTGAACCAATTATCAAGATATGATATTGGCAGCAAACTACATTTAAAATATTTCTAACAAACTTCAATGTGATTGTTAAGTACATAAAAATCTAATAACTTAATCATATATATACTACTTTATCTTTAAAAAGCTCATAAGGCAATGTTAATTTTTGAGTTAATCTATTTTGTGTGTAGCTAAGAGCTTGAATGTCATAGGATGCATGTGGAGGCCAGTAGACAGCTTAAGCGAGTAGGTTTTCTCCTTCTACCATATAGATATCTGGGATTGAACTCAGTTTTCAGCCTTAGAAACAAATGTCTTTCTCTGCTGGGTCATGCCATTAACCCCAAAAGGCAAGTTTCACACAAAACTAACACTTAGAAGTACTGCCATAAAAAATGGGTGCCAATGGACCAAAAGACTATTTGTATGTTTCAGTAGAGAAGGAAAACATAAAATTAAATGATCTCATTTAATAACCACAGTAAATTTTTAACATCTTCAACATCATTGATCATGCTATTAGATAGTATATGGGAGTATACATATTAAAGTAAATAATAAAATTCAAACTGATCATGGGTATAAAATATAAATACATACATATTACATAGCTACACTCATTCCTCTAACCCTCTAGTTAATAAATTCCAAGTGTTGCAGCATATGTAAAATATCACAGAACTTTAACAGTATTTCTCTAATACACAATGAGAAAGAGTAGAATTCAATAACAGACTTAGCTTTGTGAAAGCTTCCAAGAGTGTAATGACAGATTTAGCAACCAAGGGCAAAGAATAAACTCGTCCGGGATATAAAAAGTTGACTAATATACTCAAGAGTAGAATAAACATAAGAGAAGGGCAAGTCTAATCCAATAATCCCTTGTGCTTCATGGCTTTATGAAAAAGGAAATTGTGTAATTTCAAAAGACTAATGGAACATGGGTACTTGGATGTAATTGCCTTCTATGGGAACATATTATGAGGTCATGCTAACAGTCCTTCAGAAAAGTTAAAATGACCCTTTCAAACATTGTGGAGAAAAATCAGAAAATAAGTGTATCAAGGCTTAAGTATCTATCTTAAGTGTCTAAGATGATCAAATATATAAATTTACACATCTTTGATTAGTCCTTCTTGTAGTTTAAATCCCAATTTAATTGAGGTGTCTTATTAAAGTAACTCAATTTCGCTACATTCATTGGGAAGCCACACCAATGTGACTTAGGTCAAAGTAATTTTCCCAGTGGCTGCGTATGTCAAGTAGCAGAATATTTCAAAAGAAAACTAAGGAAAGTGTCATTTTTCAAAAGATGCAAATCAAATGAAGAATGTGTAATGTGAACATACTCCTTTAAACTGTTGAGAAAGGACTTAAACTCAGGTAAACAACCAAATGGAAATTATGCTATAACATGTTGAAATAATATGCCCGGAGAAAACTGTTTGCTCCCCTAAACTCAGCAGGAATGAACCAAGGATCTGTTGCTCACAAGTGTGCAAGCCTATAGGCAATTTGGTAGCCTATAACTACTTTCCACACAGTCTCATAAGCTTCTAAGATATTTTCACACAGACATTTACAAAACATGATGACAATAGCACAGTATGGTTCTTGTATAGGTTATTTTCTCTTGGATATGCCTCTCCCCCAAATGTATCTACCCATTCCCTTCCATCCAACACACTAGCAGGCTTGCTCTCCTACAAACAATGTACTTCAGTGTTAACAGGGCAAGCTGTGAGATGATTCCTCTTTCTCTAGATTCTGTGAGAATCTAGAGAACGGCTGGAAACCTTAAACACGGGACCTCCCATGGCAAACATGCACACAGCTACAGAGGCCTCTTACCAGGTTCGTACTTGCAGATGTAATTGTGCTTCATGTTGCACCTGTCGTCATTCCACTGGTAAAGGTAGGGACCTCCAAGGCCAGGATTGGCCGTTGGCTGATGGTACATGACAACACACTTTTCGCTTCCACATGAAGGTTCATCGGTGTACCAATTCCTACAAATATAGAACCAAAGGGACACTTAGCAACATGTGCTCTGAGTGTTTGAGGTATCAGGGCTTTTCCTTTCTCCTTCCGACTCCTCTAGGGCATCAATAAACACTTCAGGGTCCAACCACAGCTTACCTGAACTGGGAGCTGCTTCCATCAGACCACTGATAGAGATCTGGGCAAGCACCAGAATTTTGGCCATCTCCGCTTCTCAAAAGTCCGATCCAGAAGTCACCATCTGAAATCCCGGTTCCAGGTTTCGTCAGGTTCTGCAACATGCTCTCTATTAACTTCTGTTCAGCCTCGTTCTCAAGACTGAGGAGGACACCTCCTTCACTTTCACAAGCCAGGCGTGCTTCCTGGAAGCTCACTCGGCTAGACAGTTCATGGAAGTAGGCCATTTTGTAGCAGGGATGTTTCACATCAGCAAAACACACCTTTTGACCTAAAACAAACAAGATTTAGAGAAACAGGTCTTGAGGTCTTTATTCATAATTTTGATATTAATCAAAATAAAAGAACAATTCAAAATAAGAAACGCTATCAAGAACTCTTTTCTCCAAGGTATGTCTATGAGTGTAATAGTGGTATAATAGTTATGGGAGTAAACAACTACCCTCTGATTAGACTTAAGCTCTGCCTCTCCAAGAATAAAAGCATGCCTGCTATTGCAAATCTGGTCAAGAACTGGGGAGCTCACAAGCCACAGGATGAACAATAGTACTGTTATTCAGGTGAATGAATACATTTTCAGTTTCCCTCTAAATTAGTATCTTTCTACCCATAGATAAGTGCAACTCTCAAACGGCACTAGGAAAGTTTCTTTGTGCAGTGCATGGTGTTTAGCACAGAAACTCACAGCAGAATGTAAAGAATAAGTGACAAGAGAGTGCTCAGTCAGAAATAGGACTTCTATATCAGACCCTCCTCCCCAAGGCTTAGGTACCTTCATAGAAAGGGTGTAGGAAGATTGTGAGAGCCAAATTTAAGGAGGACTAGAGCAAAGGCATGTGTTATAGACATGGCAAGACCACTGTACTCATGAATTCACAGCAGGTGAGGTGCCTGCACAAGGCCTGCTCAAGATCAAGCCATTCAGCATTTTAGCACAGCAGGGAGTGTAAGGTTGAGGCAGCGGAAGTTACTCCCACAACAAGGGAGAATCTCTTGAGGCCACACGTCTGAGAAACTATGGACAATTGAGTTTCTTGGCGAAGGAGAGTCAGTTTTCTTTAATGGTGATACTTCTAGCTTCTCAAATAAGTTTGAGTAGATAGTCCCACTCACTCCAAGAAGTAGATGGACAATACGTACTAGAATTAATGAATTACTAATTTAAAAGAGAGGAGGACCTGAAGTTGGGAAAGAGTAGTAAGGAGGGGAGTTAAGGAATTTGGCTAAATAGGATTTAAAATGCATTGTATGATATTCTCAAAGAATTAACAAAAATATTTTGTGAGTGCTTTCTCATTCAATAATATTGTACAGTTTGCTTTGCTAGTCGATTACTTTTAGTTATAAAAGTGATGGAAGTTGGGAGATGCTGAAGGTTAGATTGCTTGCTGTTCAAGCATGAGGACATGAGTTTTGAGTCCCAACACCCACACAAAATATTTGACATCCTCTTACAGTGTCTTTTTAATTTTTGTAGTCCATATGAAAGGTTGTCAGTTGTAGAAGGGGGGGATCATGCCTAAATACTTTGATAAGTCCAGAATTTACATTTTGTACTCTTAATTACAGGCCATCATGCTGAGCAACTATGTCACAACAAGAGTACAGCATTCCCCCAACCCCTGAAACTCAGTTTGTGATCGGGAATGACTCTCAAGGCAAGAGCAAACAGAAGTTGGCCAAAGACCCTTAACCCCACAACAGATTTTTTTAAGTGATAAGCATTCAGGATCTTGACAAAAGATAACATAAATAGTTATTCCAGAAAGGCAAACCAGTCTGCTAACTGGGATCTGAACTTAGGAGATACACACTGAAAAAAAGTACAAACAACTTAATAGCCTAACCGAATTTAACAAAAATTAATATATTAGTAGAAATGACCATGGGAAATGAGCTAAAGAGGCTTTAGTAGGGCAAATAATTTGAAATAATCATTGTCAGGAAGCAGTGGAAATCCCAATGTTTAGTTCTAATATAAATCTCATATAAATTTGAAGATTTACTCTTGTTTATTATTAGGTTTTGTGATGCTTTCATTGTTTAAAATAGTTGTTTCTTGTATGATTCCAATGATTATTACAAGCCTATATTTTATTATTGTACTTAAGAAGCAAGCTTGCATCCTATTTTCATCTGGTACATCCTTTACATATTTCTAAGTTTCCAAATATATCTTGGTTACATGCCCCTGAGTTTTCAAGAATCCAGATTTTACCCCCTAAGACATTTAGCTCTGTATTTCACTCAAGCATTTTTATTTAAAACTGTTTTTATTTTTTTAGATAACTTTGGAAGATCTTAATGGAAAGAAAAACAGAATAAGAGGATGTTATTAGTGAGTAGCTTGTATTTATATGTAACAAAACCAGCACCTTAAAAGACTGTCTGGGCATAATTTATATGTTAAAATACACTACTTATAATCTTTGACATATTAAAAGATGAGTTCATCTCTAATTTATACATGGTGAAGATATATACAATATTATTGAAATTCATTCATTGATAAAATTAAGATAGTACTTATAGTAAAATGCATAGAATGCTCTCAATATAATGTAGAAATTCCTAATCCTATTATGTTATATTGCAAAAAAACATAAGTAATGATGCCTAAATAAAGAATTGCATTTCAAGTAATTCACAATTAATGCTACATGGGCCTAGGAAAAATTGCCAACCTTGGCACTCTATACCAGGCAATCTTTCCCTTTAGCTGAAGTGAGTAGTCCACGATTTCAATAAATGAACAGAGATGATGATGGCTGCAGAAAAGAGAGCATTTGAGGGGCTGAAGACAGAAGCCTTTTATCAGCTGGAACAGATATGTTAACCCCAAAGGACATTCGGCGAGTATCAGCTGAGTCTTCATGTTTGAACTCAAGAGCTACTACCAGGTCAGGGAGAGCAAAGCAGTTTCCAAGAAATTATAAGTACACTGCACAATTATTATGGCTCGTATAGAATCGGTTCCTGCTGACAGGGTGAATATCTTTACATGTAAGTCTGCTTTACTACTGCTTTCTACCTGACTGTGCACATTTGGCCCAAGCAGCAGCAAAATGAGCAGAAGCTGGAGCTACCGAGCTTGTTGTTGCACTTCAGCTGATCCCATTTGGCTGTGCTCACAGTGGAACTTGAACAGCTGGGAAACAAATGGTGCCCCGATTCCCAGACAAGTTCTGCTAATGCAGATCTTCTGATGTGACTTTTTCAACTCCCAGAAAAGCCAGCCCTCCTAGAAAACAATCATAATGACCTCCCTCTTCACCCTGGATGATCACATAAAAAATTTTCCATGACTTTTGCTTTTAAACATCATATTTTAATAAAATCTTTCAGAAATATTTTATGGGAGGGCAATTTTTCTATAAGTCATACAGTGGTTTCTGCTACACTAAAGTTATATGCATACTGCCTAACTATAAGGAAGTCTCAACTCAGAATCTCAAGTTGAATATTACTTAGCTTTGTTTACAAACCTTTATAAAAGTATTCCAGATGTGCTCCTGGAACTAAATAATCTCCAAATCTAAGAAGTATTTCCATTTTCTCAAGTAAATTTCCATAGAATTATAGAAAGAAATATTCACCCCTCTCAGATTTGACAGGGACCCACACTGAGTCACAGACCTAGATATGAACTTTTATTTACAGAGGATTTTTAGTAATAGCTATTAAACATTGCTTTCATTATCACAACTAATATTCTGCTGTTATTCCATAAATAAGGGTTTTAGTTTTTCATTGTTACAAAAAATCATAAATGTTGGCAAAACTTGAAACTGGTTTTGGCAATGATACAAAACCAAGAGTAAACTCATGAAGTTATGGCAGTTTGTATCTCCTTCTTGAATAGAATCAATAAGTTGGTTTTTCTTTACTCAAATTATTTGTTGCAGAATGCTCTAGAGTTGTGAGGTTGTCAAACTTTTCATTATTACTCTTAATTAATAAATTGTAACCAACATCAAATAATTATTACATTATAGATCATGTTGTTCAATAAAACATAAAAGAAATAAATTTCTTTTCTTCATTATGACCCACTCTTAATTTAAAAAAATGAAAATGCACAAAAGGGACAATATGATAAATCTCAACTCAACCAGATTGACTAAACTTAAGACTCATTACTAGAATAAAAATATATATATATCTTTACCATAATATATGGTAAATAATTCTTTTCTATCCCCCTCAAAACACACTAAAACACGGGATGGTGTTGAAACATATAAATTGCATGGTCTCTGAGAATAAGGCCAATTATCTTGAATTAAGTGAAAGAGTGTCATTTATTCTAAGTATTCTATTTGCAATTCTCAAGAGAATACCAGCTTCTTAAGAATTTTTATTTGAAGTTAAGACAGATTTATTAAAATTAACTTCTTTATGCAAGATGAGTTTTATGGTTCACTTAATTGCAGAGTGCCCCACAGCTGACATCCATTCTCTTACACTAAGAAAATCAAATCTGCAACCATGGGTCACTTCAGGGATGATGGTGGCAGCAGTCTTTCATCTTTATCCCTGCAAGAAACACCACTGGCTTTCTGAGAAGTAAGTCACCTCATAGTCTACATCCTGGTTGTAACATGAAGGGCCTGGCTTGTTGGGGTTTTCTGTCCTGTCCGGTTCCCACAGCTATTGAGCCCCAAAGAAAATCACACAGAGGTCTCCATAAATTATAAGCTGGTTGGTCCCTTAGCTCAGGCTTCTTATTAGCTCTTATGACATATATTAACCCATTATTCTGATCTATTTTTGCCATATGGCTCAGTACCTTTTTTGCCTGACAGGTCACATCATGCTTTCTCAGTGATCTGCGCAGGACTGGTAGGAATGGGCTTCCTTCTTCCCAGAATTCTTTTGTTCTCATCGCCCTGCCTCTACTTCCTGTCTGGTTGACCCATCTATACTTCCTGTCTAGCCAATCAGAGCTTATTTAAAACATGATTGACAGAATACAGACAATTCTCCCGCACCACCTGATATTTAAAATAGATGTAAAGATTATGACTGGAAACCATTCACAATAAAGATTTGTAATAATATGACTTGAGAGTTTAAACAGCCAATCAGAAAGACATATCTTGGGTCCAGCAGAACTATATGATCATTTTTGTTTCTTTAAAAACTGACATAAGCTATATGTCTCATAGAACTAATGATAATAATAGTCTGATATTGATTAATAATTTGAAATATGAGACCTCACTTCCTGTAGAATTCATACTATTAGAGAAAGTGGGAAAATTGAATCTGGTGACATATGACTAAGGGGTTTTTCTTATCAGGTATTCAACTAGAAAAGTTGCCTTTGCCTCTAGAAAACTCCACTCAAGACACAAGGCTTACCAAGCTGCCCCTCCTCCTACCCCTGCCATATACACTAATTACATCAATACCTTTCAACTCTCTAAGCCAATGTATGATATATATTTCCTTTCCCCATATTTAAAATAAAAAAGGGGGACATAGGCAGACTTTAAAACTTTTTCCAAGTACACACAGATCATAATTGCAAACAGGTTTGGAACCAGGCTCACTGGTTCTTCTGCCCATTTCCATGATGTCCATATTTCTCCACACGTGTCTCAAGCAATAGGCTGCTAAAAGGCTTTGTGAATAAAGGGACTGATAAATGTACATGCCATGAATCTATTCTGGATTAGAGACATTGATATAATATAGCTATCAGTTGGTTATTGATTGATGGTATACGCTCAGGATTTTGAATTAAGAACTTGTTTTTGAGTGTGTATTTTCCATGTTAAATAATTAGAGCAGAATTCATTTCAGGGTACTTATATCTCTGTATACTACATATGTATGTATATAAAAGAACAGGTGAGACATCATACATACATACATACACATATATATGTACACACATATATGTATGAATATGTGTTCTTTTATTTTCTCGACATCAGACATACGTGCACACATATATGTACATACACACATGTGTGTACATATATGTGTGTATGTACATATATGTGTGCACGTATGTCTGATGTCTCATCTGTTTTTTTATTTTCTCAATAGAACAATTAAAGCCTAAACTGAGTGTCATCTCAAATACAAAGACTGTCACTATGATCAGCATATCGTGGTGTGCTGTGCCATCAGTAGTACATAAGAGGTATTTTAGAAAGTTCACCTCACAGTTGTTTATATGACTGTGCCTGTACATGAAGATCTAGCACAGAAAAAATATGTAAGCAGTAACAATTCTGAATGAAGCATCAGCTGTATTTCCCCTTCCAGGCCCTTTTTAAATTACAGATCCTGTTTTAGCATTAATGTATAGATAGTGCCACCATATAATAATGATGAGCAGCCACTAAGGAATAATGCCTGTGATAAATTGGTAGTTTAATAAATGCCTAGTAATAAGATTAATTTGCTCCCTTCTTTCCCAAGAGATACTTAAAGTAATTGCATCTTTGCAACCTGCACTGTCATCATTTTCTGTTTTGATGATGTCATGGGACTTTTCTGTAAGCTAGAATATGCTCTGTATTTCACTTGTATCTTCCTTACTATTAAGTTACTTTTTAAAGCTACTTACTGGTCACCAGGTATGTAATATTCTATGTTCTCTCCATGATAAAAAGAGAAATCTGCATGGAATTGGTTCCACTGGCTGGATCTCTCTACAGTGAGCTTTTAATTCTCTGCTAAATTATGAAGGAAAGGGACTTATAGTCCGAGACTCCAACCATCCTCGTAAAAGTGGAGAGGGATTGGTTAATTGTATGTTTACAAACTATGCCTGACTCCATGAAGCACATGAATTGCTATAAAGAAGTCAGTAGCAGGCCTAATAGCTTGGTTTCTAAATGTCTGTTTTCCTTAGTCCCTAAAGTGTGTATCATTTGTAGTACAGTTAAGACTGTACATATAAAAGAGTTCTGGAGAAATTTGAGGGTACCTTGAATATGGTTAATGCCACATTGCAGCATGAGTTTACCAGTGACTAGCGCTCCAAATTCTTTTTAAAGAAGAAGAAGGGGGCTGGAGAGATGGCTCAGTGGTTAAGAGCATTGCCTGCTCTTCCAAAGGTTCTGAGTTCAATTCCCGGCAACCACATGGTGGCTCACAAACCATCTGTAATGAGGTCTGGTGCCCTCTTTTGGCCTGCAGACATACACACAGACAGAATGTTGTATACATAATAAATAAATAAATAAATATTAAAAAAAAAAATAAAGAAGAAGAAGAAGAAGAAGAAGAAGAAGAAGAAGACACAAACATTTCATTAAGATATTTCAAAAGCTTTGAAATAAAATGTCACTTTGTTTTCAAACATATTCTCCCAAACTAGAGACCTCAATTTTAACGACCCATTTTTATATTAAACCATAACAAAAAAATCTCAAACTTTGTCAGAAGCAAAATGCCATTACCAGTCAGTGACTTTCTGAACTGAATAATTAAAAGGACGCAACAGATGTTCTTCAGCCACCTGTGAAGAATATGAAGTCATCAAACAATTCACATCCTCAAATTACTTTCCCAGTGTGACCCACAGATTCAGTAAATACACTGCTTATTATCTTCAGAGTTCTTGATTATTATTATTATTATCAGATTATTATCATTGTATATTATAATTATTCTCTGTGTGTCTCTCTGCAGAGCCTTATTACATTGGACACTGTTAAATCTTATATAGACCAGCTGACAGTGAAGTTGTTAGAAGTGTATTCATCCTTAAACAATTTTCATCTTAAAATATTGTGTTTAAAAGAATTACAATGTACCTTCTTAAATTTTTTGAGACATGAAAAATATATCTGTCAGTGTCTGTCTTTGGGGCATATGATGGGTAAGAGATTATTTGCTATTACACAAGAATTGTAAATTTTTGTTTTCAAATTTAATAAACGGTCATTGTTTTTATGTGGTCTAAGTCTGTTTCAAATAATGGAAAGCAAAGAAGCTGTCCCAGTTCTCTTCAGACACTTGAGGACAGACTGGGCCACTGGTCCCTAGTGGTATCAAATGGTTGCTGCACAATCCAGAACAAGTAACAACAGACTGACAGTGGACATGTTAGAGAATATTGCTTCAAAAATAACAGATTCTAGGCTGCTCTCTGCTCAGCCCATCACAGCTAAATTATCCAAAACCAATGATTCATAAATTAGTTTATAGATAGATATCTATGTGAGGACAATCAAATTATTCATAACAAAAACATAACTAAATAATTGTTCTAATCTCAAGTCAACATCATCATTTACACTAAATCAAATGAATCATGCTCAGTTACTCAGAAATTTTCCAGATGTCACCCTCAAGATGCCCATGAATAGATAAAGAAAAGCACAGGCAAAGTTTTGGCGTAATTTATGCAGAAGTCCAATGAAAATTAAACTCTTCATCAACAAAGGACTTGAGTTCTGTTTTCTACCCTGAATATCTCCCTTACCTCTTGTAACTTTAAAGCATATAAATAAGAATCCAACAAAGACACATTGTTTAAGTTAGTGGAAAGCTTCTGTTTGTTTAAAATGCCATATGTTCAAAGCATAGTGTCTCGTTCAATTATTTGCATGAAAAATTCTCGAAAACAAAGGTAGTGAAATATGTGGTTGGCTCCACCAGTTAGATGTCCATGCAGTTCCTTATTCTCTGCTAAACTGGGGAGGAAAAGGATTTAAACTCATAGACTCTGAACATCCTGTGGAGATTAATTGTTTACCTGTCTGTACATTTAAGAACTCTATCTGACTGACTGACATATATGAATTGCTGAGATCAGAGGCAGGCTTAAATAAGCTAGATCCTAAAGAAGTGTTTTCTAAATTCTAAGTTGCTGCCGTCTTGCATCTATCAGTGATACCTATTGGGCAGATGAACAAGATTTTGGTGGACCGCGTTTGCCTTGTATGTGATAGGCAAACACTTTACCCTTAAAACACTGCTCTCCCGTATTCACCAAACTCATTGCAACAGCTTGGTGAATGTATTAAGAGCTTTTCCTGTGGGTAACGGTACAGCTGCCATGCGCAGTGCTGTTCACATTCATCTCAGTCCCTGAATACTCTACACCCTTTGGAGACTTCCCCAAACTAAAGGAGGTGAATTGTTCAATGATTAGACACCCGACGCTGAGAAAACAAACAAACAAAAATCAGAGACAAACCTTGGAATCTTGGTAATTTTGACTTATTTCCCGTGTACTGATTTGAGAAACTTAATTAGGCATCTGCAGGATGTACAGACCCAAATTCATTACCAAGTACACCTCAAACTAAACCTCGACCCAACTCCAGTTGCCTGTTTCCTGAGTTGTTTAGGAACTAGGAATGAAATGTGCAACACAGAAAGGCGAGAGCACAGTGACTCCCCTGGTCTTTGCCAGTCCTCCTGAGAACAAAGGCTGCAAACTCAGACATCTACTAGGCTGGTCTCAGAAACCACCCCTGCGAGCGCCCTGGCTGGACTGGAACCAGACCAACAGGAGGAGGCATTCATACTGCAGCTCTCTAGCTTCCAGGCTCTGTCTGCCTAGCCCTACCACACCCCTTTTGCAGGTGCCCAACGCTGCCTGCCAGTTATCCACTCCCTGTCTTCCGAAGAAAGTGCCTGGAGGAGACGATGCTGCGCTGCTCCGATTTAGCTAGAACTCGCTTCGCAGTTGTAGAAGGCGCTTCAAAAAAAACAAAAAGAACTAAAACTTTCTGCTTTGCGGAGAAAGGTGAAAGAAAAAGGATAAAATGTTTTTCACCGTCTCTCTGGTCGTCCTACTCAGTACAGTTTCCCAACTCTCTGAGGAGTTCCCACCCTATTGCAGTTTGCCCCTTACCGCCCCAGAGTCCCAAATCCCTTGTCTTCCGCTGGGTGGACAGTACCCCTACCCTGACTCACCGCTGACCACCCGTCGGGCAAAGGCTCCGTGGCCACAGAGCAGCGCAACTCCCAGCAGCAGCGAGACCACGCGGATCATGGTGGCGAGGCTTCTGCAGCAGGTGTCCAGGGGAGCAAAGGCGGCGTCCTCCTGGAGCACAGTCAGTCACTGGAGGCTCTAAGCAGCAGTCTTGCTCTCCTTCTGGGTACTACTCCCTCCTTCCCAGCACTGCAGCTAGGATCCCTGTAAGCATCGCCTTCAGCGGGGAGCTGCTGCCAGGCTGCCCCGTGCGGCACTGGTCTGGAGCTCAGGAGTCTGTGGGCGTGTGTCTGGGGGCAGGGGAGAGCGTTCGGGATTCCTGTGTCTGTATCTACTGCAAAAGTGAACCAGGATGCCTAGCGCAGAGCTAAGCAGCCTTCTTAACTTCCCTCTCAGGTCTCTGTGTCCGAAGGGGCTGAGCGGGTATACCGTGGTCCTGGCTCCGGCAGCAGCGACAGCAGCTCTGTGCTGGCTGCAGCGTCTTATATACACAGAGAGACAGGGGGTCCAACCCCTAGCTAGTAATCATTTTAACTACTTCGTCTCTCCTGCCAAGCGAAGCATCTGGCCCCTCCCCTAAAAACTGGATCCACTTTGAAAAGAGTACAGTCAGCAGTCCCTCCTCCTCCACTCCCCTGATCCCCACCCCTTTCCCATTTGCCAACAGACTTCAATACTCATTTGTGTAAAATGTGACAGCTTTGCTATTAAACTCTGGCAAAAGTTGGCTCCATTTGGTTTTCTCAAAGATAAATGTTCACGGGGATGCCAAGTCGCAGGGCCTTTCTCTTTTTCTGCAAAATTGCTTGATCATATGTATGGCGAGATGCAGGGCACTAGCCACTATTTAAGATGGATTGGCAGAGTGGGAGCCAAAATCTGCTCAGTGAATTATATAATGTGGCAGCTTTTCCCCCACCTAGCTTCTGCAAACAGATTATTTCCAAACAGGTTGTTTGACTAAATTGCCACAGAAGCAAATTGAAAAGAATCTTGGAAACAAGTTTTCTCTCAACTGATTTCAATCTCAGTTTCAATCTCAGTGTTCCCACCCCCGGGCCCCCCCCCCCCCCAATCAAGACGAAATAAATATTCTGAGTTGTTGAGAACTTCTTGGATGTAAAATGAATGTATTTCTTTGAATTCTTCTATCAGTGCTATATGGTTTCCTTTAGATGTAAGTCTCACTTTAAGGAATATACACCTTTCCAAACCTGATCCCCTCTTCTCTAACAAGTCAATGACTAGTTACCTCTTTTGTGGAGTCCAGGGAAGTTCATGAGAGTTCTCAAACACACACACACACGCACACATACACACACACACACACACACACACACACACACACACATATATATATATACACTCATATCTGAATATGAATAAACAGAAAAAGGAACACTGATAATTATAATCAAGTTCTCTCAATAAGGTTCAGTAGGATTGGCATTTTTATTATGTTGCTTTTTATCATAATTTATTATTAATTTTTAAAGTTTTGTTTTTTCATACATACACAAGTGTGTGTGTGTTTGTGTGTGTGTTTGTGTGTGAACATGCATGTGTGATTATGTATGTGAAGGCACAGAGGAATCTATAAGGAATCTCCCTTAACTTTCTTTCACCTTATTCACTGATGCAGGGTCTCACACTGAAACCCAAATCTTGTCCACATGACCTGTCTCCTTAGCCTGTTTGCTTCGGGGTCCCCATCTCCAACTTCAAAGGCTGGATTATAGGAGAGGCATAGCACCCACCTGATGCTTATGTGAATTTGGGGAATCTTAACTCTTACCCTTGTGTTTAAGAGGCAAGTGCTTTAATTGTTGATTTACTTCCTCAGCACTTATGTTGCTTAAAAACACCAAGATTTGTTAAATCAGGTCATTTTCTGTTTTAATTGGCAACAATTTCCTCCTCGGTTTTCATGTGCAATAAGGACACTATCTATTGGACTTTTTTTTTGTTTTGTTTTGGAAAAGAACAGTATGTACTACCACAATAAGAACCAGTTTCATAGAATCAAACACTTCTGCAATTGGGAGGTCCTTACCTACTAACTCTGCTATACTAATGAAAACAGAATTAAAAGATAATTATGAAGTATATGTATAAATATATATTGTAAAGTATCACTTTTTTGTTATTATGTTTATTGACTGTGAATACACTACCTTATTGTAGGGCAATGGGCAATTGAAAAATTTTGATTTGATAGAGATTCTATTGTTTTTATCACTTGTTCATGTCCTCAAGGAGGAGAGGCTATTGGGATTTTGAACAGAAGATGAGAAATGCAAAAACAAAACAAAACAAAACAAAAAACAAAGTCATGAAGTTGTAGTGTGCCCCTGGAAATCATCTCAGTGGAATCACTGACTACGGCTTCGATCAAAGAGATGCCTGACACAGACACACAATTCAGCATGAAGAGAGGATCCGTCCTTTAGTTTCTACCTACCCTTGCAGTAGTATGGATTGTAGCATGTTGTCATTCACTACACAGCTAATACCCACATATAACTGAACACATTCTATAATTATCTTCCATGAATGGATGAAAACAGCACTACAGTTAACAACTGAACTGTCACTCAGAACTGCTGAGAGACCAGGTTCTTCAAGAGAGTGACAATGGGCATACCAACCACTCCAGTACAGGCCTCATGTTCACGAGTAGTTGACTACCATATAATGGAGTTCACAGTTTTTATTGTGTGTTTTTATTTGATTACCATTGGGTGTTTACTTTTATCACTTTGAGTATGTTTTATTTCATTTTCTTGGTTTGGGGGAGCTCTGTTGTATTTGGTTTTGGTCTTTTAAGAAATAACTTTAAATTGGGTGGATAAGGAAGATCTTGGAGGACTTGGGGCAGGTGATGGATATGATTAAAATACATTTAAATTTAAGCATTGTTTTAAATAATAAAAATAAAGTAACAACAAAATCAATCCCATAGGCAAATATGGTTGCTCATGCCAATAATTCCAAAATCCTGGAAAGATAAGGTAGGAGGTTTCCCATAAGGTGAGGCCAGCCTGGGCAAAATAGTGAGAACTCATTTCAGGAAAAAATAAAAACTTTCAACAGAAAGGTTACACAGTTATTGTTGTTGGTAGAAAGCACAAATTATTTTTAAACAATTCTGTTAACAAATGGTGTTCAATCACTTCCTCTATAGATACACATAAGGGACAGTAAAAGAATGGAATTTTCATGGCAAACATCATTTAGTTCCTACTTACCCAAACAAAATTAGATATCTAAGTACTGGGTTTGTAGCGATAATCATATCAAGGACTACTTTGAGAGCAAGCCAGAAGAAGAGTATTTGAGAAACTGTTTATATACACGAAAAGCTGGTACGGTGAGCTGCAAACAAGGTGTGAATAACAATCAAGAGAGATTACATGATAGGATCTGGAAAAATAGAGCGATGATGTGAAAGTAGAAGGGGAACTACACGGGAGAGAAATCATCTGGAAACAGTAAGAGACAAAGAGAAAAGAAGAGAATGTGATCCCACCTTATGCATGAATGAAAATCTCATAATGAAATCAGTTATTTTCTGTGCAATTGATATATGCCAACACTGAACTTAAATCTCTTTCCAAATGGTTAAAATTTCAAATGAGAACTGAAAAGTGAGTGGAGTGAAACCTCCAACATTGACCCAACAGACACAATGCAGTTTTCTCTTGAAACTCAAAAATAAAAACTCAAAAAAATGTAGCCCCAGAGTTGTCTCACCGTGCTTCAATGGCTTAGAAGAGTGATACACTATTTTCAGTCAAGTGTGACAAAATGGATGAATTAGATGATATTGGGTTTGGTAGTACCACAATTTTATGGATATAAAGTTATCGTAGCTCTGTTTGGAGATGATAATGATCCCCTTTCTCATCTGGAGCACCTGAGTGAGCCCTGCGGTGACAGAAGCGGAAGTGACTTGTACACTTGTCCTGCACAAAAGTCACTGACTCTGAACGAATGTCTAGAGTGCAGGATATCTGCAGATAAATGAACGCGTCAGATGCTCATGGCGAGTGCACAACTGAAAGTGAATGGGGAGAGAAGTAACTCATGCACTCATGAAATTCCAGAAGTATTTGCTTTTATAGAACAATCTAACAAGGCTTGAGGGTTCACAGTGATGTTAGAAATGTAATGAAGAATTGCCCAAGCAGGAGGATGCTTTTTTTTTCTCTTTAAGGTTAGTAATCATTAACTGTGTTCTAAATTATGACCTTTCAGGTATTACTTTTTTTTTAAAGTATGGATCTCTACTAATTGAACATTTTGCATTAGATCTGAAGAACTGGTCAATTTCAATTAAAGCCAATTTTAATTAAATATTCTTTTCATAGCTCCTGATAGGGCAACCCTGCTCCAATGGATAACCCCAATCTCAGGCATATATAGAAACACATTAGAAACAATGGTTTATTTAAATAGAAGGTGGACCCAAAGTTGAGTGAGGCAGGAAGGTGGGAGTGGATCTGGGAGGAATTAGCAGGAGGGGGTGGAGTAAATATGATCAAAATACATGCATGAGGTTTTCAAGAATTAATACAGCTGCAAAAATAAAATAAATAAAACAATTCAATAATAGTATTGTTATGAATCCAGAATGAATCAACATTTTTACTCTAATTCTCTTATTACCAAATTTAATTTTAATATACATTAACACAATAAAAGTAAAAAATCAAAACAAGAAGGCAAAAGTTAGCTCTGCTTAGCTGTCTAGTTTTATTTGGTACATAACTGACAAGTTCCTTCATTATGATCAAACCTCCCTTCAACTCCCTCTGGTGTCCTTTACCCCATCGCACTCCTAACTTTATTTCCTCTTTATAATGTATTGTTTTGTTATTAATACATAACAAGTTCTTTCTCTATATGTTTGTGAAGTCATCCACTGGAGGAGCATGAGCAACCAATAAGATGCCACATTCACAAAGGAAATGGGGTTCTTTCCCTCAGTAGCTATCAGCTGTCAATAACTCCTCTCACGGGAGTGGGACATTGGAGTCTTTAGTTATCCATGCTGGAATTCTGATTGGCTTCATATTGGACAAGTGAACACACTTGCTGTGAGTTTCTGCATGTATGGAACTCTCAAAGTAACAAAAAGTATATGTAGAGATACAAGTGAATGAAAAACTTCTTTGTTATTGTTTAAATGCTGTAAACAAACAGGAATCCCACAGAAACAGTTGTATTTGAATTATTCTGAGGGTGAACTGTGCAGTGCTTGAAAGATTTTATAAAAATGTAACAATACATTAACTACAAAATAAGAGAGGGCAGGAGAGAGAGAGAGAGAGAGAGAGAGAGAGAGAGAGAGAGAGAGA